TCATTCCATTTCTAGGGATCTACACAAGAGAAATTAAAACTTATGTTCACACAATGATGTTTATGTGAATGTTCACAGTGTCATTCAAAATAACCAAAAAGTAGAAACAATCCAAAAGGTATCAACTGATGAGTGGATAAAGAAAATGTGGTACAGTCACATAATGGATCCTATTCAGCAACAGAAAGAAACAAACTCCTGATACATGTTACGACATGGAGGAGTCTCAAAATCCTTACATTATGTGAAGGAAATGAGATGCTAACCACTCCCTGTTATATGATGAACTTATATAAAATTTATAAAGAGGCAAATCTACACAGATAGAAACTAGGTTAGTGTCTGTCTGGGCTGAGGGTCAGAATAGAGATGAACTGTAAAAAGGCATGGGGATCTTAGCTAGGGTGATGGCAATGTTCTAAAGCTGGACTGTGCTAACAGCTGCATGACTCAATCAAGTTCATGAAAAACTGAAATATATGCTTAAAAATGTGTGGTTTTGGGGGCATGTGGGTCATTCAGTCAATTAAATGTGTGACTTGTAGTTTCAGCCCAGGTCCTGATCTCATGGGTCATGAATGAGACAGGCTCCTCACTCAGTGGGGAGTCTGCTTGAAGATTCTCTCCCTCTGTCCCTCTCCCCAACTCACACATGTATGCTCTCTCTCTCTCTAAAATAAAGAAATCTTTTTAAAAATGTGTGATTTTCTTGCATGCAAATTACAGCTCAACAAACTTTTTAAAAATGATCAATGTTTTACAAATAAGCTCTAATGTACATTTTTGTTCATTCTAGTTATTAGGAGAGCATGAACCTCTTCTGTTTAGAAGTAAATGGACAAAAATTAACTTACAATTTTTCCTCCTGTACTTTATTTGATCTGAGAACAATATAATTGCCTTAATTAATTAACATGAAAGTCAGGGTCCCTATTAGACTTTTGTCTTCACTTGTGCATCTTCACTTGATCACAAAGTCCTCTGAATTTCTCAGTTTGATGTTCTGTTGGTTTCCTTCTCTCAACTATTTCTGTTACTGGCTTCATTCAGGTCCCTATTTTTTATACTTTTATTATTTTTTAAATGTCCTCATTTGGTAGTTTCTAGGTTTTTGAATTTCACAGAGTAGAAAAACAAATTAAAAAAAATGGGAATAAAACTGCCAACTATAATTTTGCCAAATAAGGCCAGTAATATGAAAATGTACCTTAACAACTACCATCTACTTTCACTGTATAAAACTTAAGTTGCACTGATTAATTTGATTAAAAAAACCTCTTCCATAAGATGCAGATGTCAATTATTTAAAAATATACCCAAAGTATGCAGAATACAAATATGGAAAAATGATTGTATTAGTCAGTGTATTCCAGAGGAAAAAAAATTAATAGGATATACACATGCATATATAAGAAGGGATTTATTATGGGAATTGGTTCATGTGATTATGGAGGCTGAGATATGTCATGCTATGCCCTGTGCAAGCTGGAGAATCAGGAAAGTGGGTGATATAATTCAATCCACATCTTAAGTATTGAGAACCAGGGGAGCTGATGATGAGCTGAGGCCAAAGACCTGAAAATTGAGGAAAAGTGGGGGGGTATGCTGCTGGTTGAGTCCCCAAGTTGGAAGGCCAAAGAACCAACAGCTCTCAGAAGATGCATGTCCCAACTCAAAGAGAGAAAGAATTCATCCTTCTTCCACCATTCTGTTCTATGTGGGTCCTCAAGGGATTAGAAAATTCACACCCAATCCAATTAAATTACTTAGCCTACTGATTTCATGCGAATCTCTTATGGGAACACCCATCAGAAACATCCCAAAATAATGCTTTACCAGCTCTTCTGAGCATGTTGATGCATAAACTTAAGCACCACAAATTCACCCCTTGTCAATTTGGCACCCATACACATCACTTTACACCATACTTAATCTCCAAATAAAGACAATAAGGAGGCCATAATTATAATATAACTATCTTTCCTACAACAGAAAATGCACTAATCCCTTTTTCGGAAAAGGGTAAATTTATTTTGCTTTTATTTTATGAAACTATGTTTGGATACCTCATTTGGACATTCAATTAAAGTAGCCCAAATTGGAGCTAAGTCTGCAGCTTGTTAAAGTGAAGTTGAAGGTATTTTCATGTCGTTGTATTAAAATGGAAGCAACCACATTTCATGAGAGTAAACACAAATGAGAATATTCTGAGTGATTTTAGACAAACTGAATAACAGCAGTTTTCACAGATCCAAAGATCCCCCTGCTTTGGGGTGCCTGGGTGGTTCTGATGGCCTGCCTTCGGCTCAGGTCGTGAGATCTCCAGGTCCTGGGATGGAGCCCCATGTCAGGCTCCCAGCTCAGTGGGGAGTCTGCTTTTCCCTCTCCCTCTGCCTCTCCCCCTGCATGTGCTCTCTCTGTTACTCTCTCTTTCTCTCAAATAAATAAATAAAATAAAAAAAAATGAATGAAAGAAAGAAAGAAAGAATGAAAGAAAGAAAGAAAGAAAGAAAGAAAGAAAGAAAGAAAGAAAGATTTTCCTGCTTTCTTTCTGTAAGGTTGAAATAATCAGCAGAATTGGTCTCAACACTGGGGAATCCTGGAAAGGAACTAAGTTCTCCATGCTTAAAATTAATCATACTCTGGTTACTGTAGCTTGGGGTGATGACAGTTCACTAGAGTTCTCATGGGGAGCTTAGCAGTGGATAAAATCACATAACAGCTTTCTGATCAATTCCATAGTCCTGTATCAACACTGGTCTTGTATATGGTTACATAATAAATGAAGGGTTTTGCTATGGATCTCTCCTATCCACTATCAAAGTCATACACAGTTTTTCATATTACCATTATGAGTCTAATTTAGGCAGCTCCCTCTTTAAAATGTAAATATAAGAGAGTAGGAGTAGCAGAAAATCCATTACTAAACAATATATTAAAATGATTATATCTTATCTAAACCAAAGTTTTTCAATTTATGACTCACAAACCATCCACCTCAGAATCACCTGAGTTGGGAAGAGGCTTAACCAGGTCCATGTCAAAAAAGAAAAAAAAAATAGAGGTTTCATTTAGTCCTATTCATTTATAATTTCTTAAAGAATTTTTCAGAATCTTAATTTTTAAAAGCTACCCGCATGATCTTTACTATCATTTACATGCAAAATACATTGTCAGTAAAACTCAACCACATATTAGAATCACCTGGAGTAATAGAAAAAATAAATACAACTAACATCTAGATCCCACACGCCAAGATGTTGAGTTAATTTTTCCAGCATCAGCTCTGGGCATCGGCATTTTTTAAAGAACTCTCCAGGAGATGCTATTTTGAGGACAGCTAAGAACTGTAGCTCTAAAATTTGAAAATTGATGTTCACACCAGTTCCACTAATTCCTACTGTTTGCATCCGGTGTCTTTCACTCATCTATATTACTCTCACAGACTTTAAATGTAATTGAGTCCTTAGCCTATGAATACTGAGCACTCTCTGCACGACAAAGTGTAGCTTCTTAGAACTAGAAACTCCAAAGACTAAGATCTAGACAGAGGTCAGGTTAGAGCGAGAGCATTCACCTTGGTGCAGGTGGAGGCAGATTTTTTAATGGACCCAGATTGGGACCTGCAACAAGGTAGCAGCTGCTTATGAGACTTATTGAAGGGGAAGGAATTATTAGGGACAAAAAAGGACAATAAAAGTAGAAGGAGAGTCAAACAAGCAAACAAACAACAATTTATGATTTTCAGCAGATCTCACTCCTGATAAGAAAAGTAGATCAGAACTTTGCTTTGGGAATCCTCTTGGCAAAACACATAGAACTTTTCAGCTTTGTCTCCAGTGGGACCATCTTGTTTGTTTGTTTGGTAAGCTTGGTGAAGTCCCAGTTCTTTTGCCCTTTTAGATGCATCCAGCACCTCATTACAAGAACAGTTTGCTCAAGGCACACATATGCTCATGATCAGTACAGAGGCAAGAATAAGGCAACTGAATTCCTCTTAATCTAAGAGCTCAAAGGGGTACTTCTAAGGATAAGACTCAACATTACTTATAAGGGTGTAGCTTCTAAAATTCTTTAATTCCCCCCCCTTTTTTTTTTAAAGTGATACACAATTAAGATACAACCCAGTTTTAAGCATACAGTATAATGGTTTGGTATATGTCTATATTGCAAAATGACATTTTGGTAGTTTTAAGAAAATATATCAAGAAATAAAAACATTCTCCTTAAAATTAACCCTATGATCTCATAAGTTGATTGGACATAAACATTTGAAAACCTCAACTATAACCTTAATTCAGACCAAACTCTTTATCTTGGGAATCCAGGGTCTCTCATATTTAAGTCCCAAATTATCCTTTTAGGCATATATACCACTACTTCCTGCACTCTCTTCTCTAGTCATTTTATTCTGATGGTTTCTTGTCTCTGCACATTTACTCACACTGTCAGAGACCTATTTGCCTTTAGCAAAATGTTCCTTCCTACAGAAAACCTTCCTGATTTCTTCATCTGCAAGTATGTTGCAGAGATTTTCATTTTTACTTCTCATTAATTTTATTATGTTCTAAATTGGTACATGTTCAAATATACAAAGATTTGAAGGCAAAATTGTTGAGAAATTCATATTTCTAAATTCTCTTTGGCGGCCAATAAAAAGAAAAAAAGACAGACTCCATTAACTTATGCATCTGTTCTACCTTATTTTCTTTGCTGTAGCCAGAAGCCTTTGTTGGGCATGTGGTTACCCTCTTGGCTCTCTTACCTCTCTGACAACTCAATTTCATAACACTCCAAAGAGTCTGGTTACATTTCCTAACAGAACACCTACTTCATGGACATCCCAAGAACACTTGTTTTTTCAAATTTTAAAGTGTAATGTTTAGCTAGTAGATATCACATACAGAATATTTCATGGTGGCATGAACTAGAATTGTTAAAATTCTTATGCTCTTATTTTCCTGTTGAATGCTATGAAAATCACTTTACGTTATTCTTACATTTTGAGAATTGCACTCAGTGTTGTTCGAATTTTCTTCCTTTGTTGTCTCAGCTTGAGAGCTCTCAGTCCTTCCAAGAATGGTTTGCTCAGGCTAGAGAAAAGAGAGAGAGAGAAACAGGTTCAACCAAGAGATCACTGTGACTTGTGAAATACGGTACAATGACAACATCAGACTCAAGGACAATGAATACAATGGAATTTGTATATATACATACTCAAAAATTCATAATTTTGAAAGTGCACAAAATAAGTTCTGTTCTGTTTTGTATTAGTGAGGTCCAATGGCATTATTTTCCCACCGGAAATACTTCTTGCATAGTAAGCCTTTAAGTTTACTATTTCCACAAGGAGCTGGAATCCTGTCTTTTCTCATATTTTAAGTCCAAGTATATCTGAGAAATAAAAGTGTACACTTCATATTCTCAATCAGAAGGAGAAGACTTCATAACAGCTCACTGTAAATTACAGAGAGGATTATTTACTTCAACGCTAACTAACTAATGAAGCCTGGAAACCTTAAATATTATCCTAAGATTCATCTCTTTAGGAACACTAAATCTTTTTTAAACATTTATTTATTCGAGAGATAGAGAGTATGAGTGGGGTGAGGGGCAGAGGGACAGGCAGACTACCTGCTCAGCAGGGAGTCCTATGCTGGGATTGATCCCAGGACCCTGAGATCATGACCTGAGCTGAAGTCAGGACTGAACTCACTGAGTCACACTTGGGTCACCCAAGTGTCCCTAAAAAAATTTTTTTTAAGGCAGTTTTTCAGGTGCTGGCCAGGGAAGAGTATGCATAATTAATGTATGTAAATATCCCCATCTGCCTCTGTTAGGGTGATACAGCAGCACTATAAAGGCAAAAATGGAACAGAGGAAAATTAGGGTGTGGATATCAGGAAAGAAACAATAAACATTGATCAAGTAGATGGTAACAAAGGCTGAACTAAAGTATTAATTCTGGCAATCAAAAAGAGATTGCTCTTTGTTGTGAGCAAAGATTAGAACCTACAAAACTGAAAAATTCTATAGAAATAGAGAAACCTAGAGAAAAGGCAGGTTCACAGCAAAGAGGATTATTTGTGTATTGCTAATAGAGAATTTAAAGCCCTCATGACTCTTAAATAGCTAGACACTACTCAATAGCCATGTTAAATATATTAACATGAATCAAAACAGCCATTTAATCCAGCTAAAATCTACTGGACTTCCTATAACCTACAAATTACAGATAGTTTGAAGAAATAGGTTAAAAAGTGCAGGGGTAATACATAAATGCTAACAGTGAAGGAAAGTCTCTTCCAGCAATCAGAGAAAGAACCCCAACTGCAAAAAGACAGAAGAAATCCCATTAATAGGCATGGAGTAATTTTAGTAGGTTTTGATTCTGTTAAAACAGCCAAATCACTGAGTAAACAGCCCCAACATACCTCTGAAAATTTATTTAGTGTATAATAGCATTAAAGGAAACTGAAACATAAAAGTCATTCATCATTCTAGCAGTAATTATTTTTACTTCTCAATGTTGTCTTTCAGTCTTTGCCCATATCCTCACGGATATTTACAGAGTCACAATTACAGTGCTCATGACATACTTACTTCTGTTTTTACACACACATATATGTGATCTATCTAGAGATAGACATAAGGCTATAAGCATCCTTTACATGCCTAAATAGTATTTCATAGATGACCTTGCAAAAATGTGTATTTCAGTTAAAGACTTCGGTGGTTCTGAATTTCAGGTTATAATATTGTGAAGACTATCAGTCTTCTTGGTTCCAGTCTGCAGGATAGCTCATATCACACTCATCACTGGTTTAAGTATCTGACTCTTTATAAGCTGGGAACCCATGAAGGAAATATCATGCCTTATTCATTATCACATCCTTTGAAGCGAGTACATATTTTGTACTCAGTAAGTTTTGTTTTTCCTTTCATCATTTATTTAAGATCTATTTCTTAGGACTAAAGGAAACTAAGAATTAAGGACCAAAACTAAATCAAGAGGAATGGCTATATTTATGGTAAGAGAAATCTTTCCAAAACGTGGCAATTGGAATTCCTTCTAGCAGCATAAGTCAACACTAATTGTGCATCCACTCTGTAAAAGTAGTGTGTTTCGAACTGAGATCAAACACTAAAAACATAGTTCTTGATCTCAAAGAGCTATCATTTGCTCCTCATTAATTGTCATTGTATCGTCTACTTTCCTAATAGCTCCTGATTTCATTCTGGAGGGTTGCCTCTTTCATGGTATGGTGTTTTCAAAGTATTGTTTTATGTATCAAATTCCTTGACCCCTCTGACATTGGCACATGACCCAAGTTAGGTCATGATACCTCCATTCTTAGAATACTGATTACATTAAGAGGAGGCCATAAATGGTTAGGTACATTAATTCTGTTAGGGTGCCTTGTCCAAGTTGTTTCTATAATACAACCCTTCTTTATGGTTCATACGTGCAGTCTTCTGAAGCAGCCTTTGTTTCTGCCCATTTCCAGGTGTGTTATTTCTATCTTTTCCTTGGTACTATGAGCTCCTGATGTTATATGAATAAAGTCTCTTCATTTAATCTGGTAAGGGTCAGTGTTGGTTGAATGTAATCAGAGACCTGGATGATACAAGGAGTCAAATCAATAAAATAAAACTGATAGCAAAACATAAGGGCTGAGATAGAGGTTTACCATGGAAACTAACAGAAAAGAAATGGAACCCAGAATAAATAACAAAGGAGTATTATTCAAAGGAATAATAATATTCAAAGGAATAATAACAGTCTCACCAGTGATGGAGATTAAATTTTAGGGTAGATATTCAATACGTTCCTAAAAATGTAAATGTGTAGCATATTAATACATTTTAATGTTTGATTTTTTTTCATAAAAGTACTGTACATTTGTGAAAATGCTCCCAGATTTTGGTGGCAAGGTTGAGACAAGGAATATGTCCAAAATAAAAGGTCTTCTCTATCTATCTATCTATCTATCTATCTCTCTGTTTTTGTGGGCTTCTGCTAATTTGGACAGATGATAGAGTTTTATTAATTATTAAGCGCACAGAAAACAGAGGGAGAAGAATGACATTGTAACTTTTCTCTTCCATAAGTTTGCCAAGGCTACTCTTGTGCTCACATATTAATAAACTGAGGTGCCTGGTTTGCCAATGTCTCTATTGATACTGAAGTTATCTCCAATTTGCTTCAGGAAAAAAAAATTACATATATTACTTACAAAAACTGGAGGAGATGATACATTGCTTCACCAGTGTGAGCAATGAAGTATAAAAAGTTAAATCACTTTAAATACAAAAATTTAGTATTTAACTGAGGAACTGCTTACATTTAAATATAATACATGTTATCTTTAGCATAGGCTTTTGGCATCAGTGAGATGTTCCTTGTGGAAAGAAGCCTTGTTGAATATGATGAATTAATACAGAATGGGAACTGACTTTGGAGAAAGATAATGTATTTTTGGAGTTAAAGAAATGAGGACTCAGATTCTGGGTTAACAGTAAATAAATTGGGGTGCTCGCTTCGGCAGCACATATACTAAAATTGGAAGGATACAGAGAAGATTAGCATGGCCCCTGCGCAAGGATGACACGCAAATTCGTGAAGCGTTCCATATTTTTTCGGAGAAAGACAACTATCATATGATCTCCCTGATATGAGGGAGAGGAGATGCAACATGGGGGTTAAGGGGGTAGGAGAAGAGTAAATGAAGCAAGATGGGATTGGGAGGGAGATAAACCATAAGTGACTCTTAATCTCACAAAACAAACTGAGGGTTGCTGGGGGGAGGGGGGTTGGGGGGGGTGGGGTTATTATGGACATTGGGGAGGGTATGTGCTATGATGAGTGCGGTGAAGTGTGTAAACCTGGCGATTTACAGACCTGTACCCCTGGGGAAAAAAATGTATGTTTATAAAAAATAAAATTAAAAAAAAACAGTAAATAAATTGGGGACTTGGGAAATTTATATAATTTCAGAGGGTCTCTGTTTTCTGCAGCTTTGCTAAATTAGGTCAAGGACACCAAACTCACAGTATGGTTTTGTTCTGTTGGTTGTTGTCATTTTTTTAACTTTATATTTTTAGAGCAATTTTAGGTTCACAACAAAAATGAGGGAGAGATGCAGTGATTTTTCATACAGCCCCAGTCCCACACATGTGTAGCCTCCCCCATTATCAACATCCCACACCCGGTTGATACAAATGTTATCAAGGATGACCCGGCATCAACACATCATAGTCATTTAGTGCCCATAGTTTTCACTCTTGGGTTTGGAATAATGTATAATAATATCTATCCATTATTGTATTATCAGAATATTTTTCATGGCTCAAAATCCTCTGTGTTCTAACTATTTGTCCTTACTTTCCTCAACCCTGGAAATCATGGTCCTTTTGATTTTTCCATAGTTTTTCCTTTTCTAGAAAGTCCTATAGTTGAAAGCATACAGTATGTAACTATTTTAGACTGACTTCTTTCATTTAGTAATATGCATTTATGTCTCCTCCATGTATTTTCATGGCTTAATAGCTCATGTCTTTTTAGTATTGCTTAATATTCCATTGTCTGGATGTACCATAGTCTAAGACCAGATGACTTCAGTGGTGATTTCTACAAACACTTAACGAATAATTAATACCAATCCTTCTCAAACTCTTTTTAAAAATAGGAGAAGAGTAAATAATTCCAAACTCATTTCACAGGGTCAGCATCACCCAGATACTAAATTCAGACAAGTACACTGCAAGAAAACAAAGTTGCAGGATAAGATCCCTGATAAACACGAATGCAAAATATTAGCAAATCGGGGGCGCCTGGGTGGCTCAGTGGGTTAAATTAAAGCCTCTGCCTTCAGCATATGTCATGATCCCAGGGTCCTGGGATCGAGCCCCACATCGGGCTCTCTGCTCTGCAGGGAGCTTGCTCCCCCCCTGGCCCCACCTGCCTGCCTCTCTGCCTACTTGTGATTTCTGTCTGTCAAATAAACAAATAAAATCTTTTTAAAAAATCAGCAAATCAAATTAAAAAATACACTAAAAAGATCACATACCATAATCAAATGGGATTTATTCT